CCCGCACGCCCACCAAGAGCGTCTGGACCGCACGGGCGGGTATTTAAACGAGGCCAAAAACATCATTGGCGAGACGCAAGCGGTCGGGATCAACATCGACAACAACCTCATGATGCAGCGCGAGCAGCTCGAGCGCGCGCAAGAGAACGTCAAGGAGACCCGCGCCGATGCGCAAGAAGCCGGCATCCACCTCGCAAGCCTTCGCCGAAAGAACATGGTGAGCATCGGGCTCATGTGGGTCGTCATCTTTGGTCTCTCGGTGGCCATCCTCGTCCGCGTCCTTCAGATGGTTAAAGTCATCTAAGTGTGGATACACTATTACACACACTACTACACTCACTACTTCACTCTACGATCAGCACAATGAATACAGACAATCTTGCCATCGACTCTGTAACTGGACGTAGCCGCGCGGACCCGAGTTGTCTGGAAGAGAGAAGGCGAAATCTGGTCGTTCACGTCGGTTGGAAATTGAAAGTGTCGTCATGCACGGCTCGCAGAGCGAAGGAGGTGACAATCTGGCTCATCGACAGGACACTATATGACGAGGATGGGGCTACGATGAGGTTCTTAGATCCATCCAGCTCTCAACTAGCATACCCGTACATCACGAACCACCAAGCGATTTCAGGATCCTACTATGTTGACTTAGACGTACGTAGCTCCTATGTCTGTGCTCTCGACGACATCGGAGGGTGGGTGGACCCGAATGTCATCAACGGTGAACGGAATGTCAAACGCACTGCCGCCGCCAAGTGCGATCGAGAGGTTGCCGTGGTGGAGCGAAAAGGCGAGCTGGTCGCTGAGGTAGAGCACGATGAGGTCTTCGCAGACCTCAAACGACGTGACGAGGATCGGGAACGAGACGTTGTTGACGCCGTGGGCCGGCCACGCGACCGCTGTGTTGTCGATCGCGGTGGCGAGGTCTTTCAGCGGCAGCTTCGGCGACGACGTGTTGTGGTACAAAATGTCAAACTGCAAGTGCACCAGATCCAGCTCGATCGGGAGTGGGTTGTGGATCTGGAGGTCGACATCGAGGCGGAGCTCGCACGTGTGCGTCTCCGAGTCGAGTTTCTTGAGCGTCGGGTTGAGCTCGTACTTGCGCAAAAAAGCGGGCTGGCCGTCAATGGTGCCAGGAATCTCGATTGGGAACGACATGCGGTTGAAGAGCTGCTGCGCGAGGCAGTGCGACTGCGGGTGGCCGCCGACAATGGCCAGCGAGACGTTCGACCCACCAAGGTAGGACTGCAGCACGGCCTCGAGCGGCGCCGTGTCGGCGTGCCCGAGGTACGTGTACGTTGCAATGTGCGTTGTGCCACCACCCAGCGTGAACCCATAAAACCCGACGCGCAGCAACGTTTCGTTCGTGCGGGGATGCGTGAGCTCAAAGCTCAGGTCGGGCACCGTCCACTGCACCTGCGACGCGTACTCGAACGTGACGTCGGAGAAGACGTAGATGCCATGGTCATCTTCGTCGATGTGGCCGCGCGAGAGCCCGATCGTGTGGAGGATCGCATGCACCATTTCGTCAATGTGCTTGGCGATATCAAACTCATTGGATGCGGGTCGTCGTCGTCGCCGCCGAGGAAAGGCCCACATGCCAGACCGATGGACCGACGCCGACGACGATAAGAGGTCGTGGACATCCACGTGGACGGTAAAGGGCACGAGGAGGCACGAAATGTGGATCGGGATCGACCCCGACACGGTCAGCGCTGGCGTCGGCGACTGAAACAGAAAGCGCTGGAGATCCGCCGGCGACGCTTGGACCGAGAAGAAGATGTGCGACTGCACCGACGAGACGCCATGAGCAAGCGAGAACGCTGGCAACGACACGACCAGAAGCGATGTCCCGTTCGCCGAGAGGTGCACGTCGAAGGGCCCGACGGTCGGCGCACACAGCGACGGGTTGACAAACTCGACACCGATGGCGCCAAGCGACTTGTCGCTGCAGAGGTCGGGCAAATGCAGCGAGCGAAAGGCCATCGTCGTGCCCCGCAGCGCCAAGACGAGGTGCACGAGCGTGACGAGCGCGATCACGACGCAGCCTACGAGCGCGAGGACCAGCTGCACGCGCCGCCGGCGGTACCAGCGTGGGCTCGCCGCCGATGCAGTAGGCGGCTCGTCCGCGGCGCCGCCGAGGAGCCGGTCGCGCGGGTCGTCGTTGTCCATGGGCGTTCGGGCAATCTTTGTGTGATCTTGCGAGAAAAACCTGTGCAAATGCATATGTATTGCGAGAGGGTATCGTGTGGCTGGACGCACGCAACCTTGCGAGGCGACGCGAGCATGACGCAGCGTCCCGCTCGCCGTCGCGCGTCCAAGTGGATGGCATTTGCAGTACGTTCGGGTGTCTAAACGCACGCCGCCTCGGCTTTCGACGACCAGCGCGCGCGCTGAGCCTGCCACGCGTGCGGTCTGTAAGCCAATCAGCGTCGTTTGTGTCAAAGGGCAAAGTGGAATTCGGCATGAACTACGCGTGGGCAGACGACGAGGCGACGGCCGACCTCGTGCGCGACCTCGCGTCGCTAGAGACGCCGACGCCCGAGACGCGCCTCTTGCTCAAGCCTCTCTTCCGCTGGGCCAAGCGCGAGCCGGAGAAGGCGTACGCATACGTGCTCTGGCTGCTGCAGCTGCATGCAGCTGGCGACGGCGACATCCCGGCGCAGCCGACCATCCAAGCCAACTACGCCATCAACACGCTCATCACTGCGAGCCAGCGCTGCGGCAAGGCCATGGAGGCCCAGCGCGCGTTCGATCTCCTCGCCCTCCACGGCTTTACGCCCGACGTCTTTGCATACACGGCGCTCATCGACGTGCTTGGCCGCGGCCAGCAAGCCGACGTGGGCCTCGCCATGTACAAGCAGATGCTCGCGACCGACGTGCAGCCCAACATTGTGACGTTTACTACCATCATCCGCGTGCTCGCCATGAGGTACGACGGCGCGCAGTCGACGGCTGATGAAAGTATATGCTAGCGATACCGTCGACGTGACGTACGTGCTGAAGGTCCTCGAGCACGCCCGACTGCTCGACAAGACGTGCGATCCGTCGCTGTACACGGAGGCCCTCGAGACGTGTGCGAAGCGCAAGGCCCTCGATGTGATCACTGGTGTCTTGCAGCAGCGGCGTCTCGACTATGGCCTCGAACTCCTCGGCGACAAGAGCATTTCAGCCATTGGCCGCGTGGTGCGCGATCCATCGAGCATGCCGACTGTCGACGCCTGGGTCCTTGACGGTCTTTTGGACGCCGCGGACAAGGCACGTCTGTTCTCTACCTCGACGTCGTCGTCGTCAGTGACGGACGGTGCGTCATGTCTCTTCCTCGCTGTCTTCCACTCGAGCGAATGATGTAGACAAGTACCAAGGCTGCTTGGGCTACGAGACTCCGGCGTCCGTGCGGCAGTCGGTCATTCTGCACGACATCGATCGTCTCATCGAGCGAGTCGTCAAGGGCGTGCTTCCCACCAAGTACATTTACTACACTATCCACTTGTCGTGTCCCCTTCGTCTCATTGGCACGCGATGTCTAGGATGGATTTCGAGACGCTCATCCATCAGTGCCGGAAGCGCAAGTGGCGCGACCAAGTCCATGTCGTTTTTAACGCCATGACCACCCTTGCACATGACGGCTGGACCTTCCCAAACGACGACGCGGGTCGAGGTCCGATTGGGCCACAGCCGACGGTGACGCCGGGCCCGTCGACGTACTTGGCGATGATCGACGCCTACATTTGCTGCCACGCGATCGACGATGCGTGGCGAGCGTTTGCCACCATGGACGACAACCACGTGCCGCGGACGCAGACCATCGTCCGCAAGTACATTCGGGGCTGCTACCTCCTCATGCGCGACCTGAGCGCGGCGCCGTCGCCTACCACTTGGCACGTCCCGCACGTCGTCGACCTCGCACTACGGGATGCGATTTCGATTTCGCCCAAGATGGCCACGTACATCTTGCGCCTCTACGGCCTCCACGAGCGCCTCGGTCTGGACATGATAACGACGCTCGTCGGCGTGGGTCATGACCGCGGGTCGCTGCTCGACGAGCTCGTGCAAGCCTGCGTGTACGCTGGCAACGTCGACGGCGCCTTGGCGGTGCACGCGCATCTTCCCAAAAATGGCACCACGGCCACGGTCGAGCGCGCGCTGCTACTGACGTGCGTCCACGGACACAATCTCGAGGCTGCCCTCGACCGGCTGCGAACGCTGCAGGCCCACACGCACCTTTTGCCCGTGCCCGTGTACGCCTCGATTGTACGCGAATTGTACACGAAATACACGGCCAAGACGGGCGAGATGGACGCCGCCGGGCGCGCCAAGTGCCTCAAAGTGCGTACGTCCAATACTCGATAGTAGTGGTGGCGAGGTGATGTCGCTCCTAGTGTTTGAGAAACGCGCGCTGTTTGAGGCCACGGCCGATCATGCGACCGCGTTGCGGACCACGGCGCCGGTCGACACGACGTCCTGCGGCGCGCTGTGGTGCGCGTCCATCGAGGCGCTCTCGTGCGCCCCGATCCTCTTTGCGCAGCACTTGACCGAGCGACTCACGTCGGTGCGGGACAAGGCAGCGAAGGAGCAGGCCCAAGACGACATTTGCGCGGCGATCCACGCGACCGAGGACCCGTACCTCTTTCTTCTCCAAGCGCTGCTGGCGTTTCCGTCCATCGACATTGGTTTTCGCATCCAGGCCAAGTTTGCCAAGCTCTTGCTCGCCATGGTAGCAGTTCGACACCATGCTCGGTTTTGAAGGTGCATGGTGTAGGTGCCGGGGACGCATGGCCCCCACCACGTGGCGTACTGCTTGCGCGAGCTCGACGCGATGCCAATGCACTTGGTCGCGGAATTGGACCGCGTGTTTCACCTCTGTACGGCCGACGCCGCCCGGCTCGTCGACTACTGCCGCTGCGCGACCTTGCAAGACAATGCGGAGAAGACGATCAATTTTCTGCTCGCGCACGATGCCTTCTTTACGCCCGAGTACGCGACGGTGCTTGCGACGCACTTCGCCGACCTCTTTGCCAACGGCAACAGCGTCGGCGTCAAGTACATTCGCGCGACTACCAAGCACCCTTTGGTTGCGACGATGGCGCCCACGGCCTTTCTCACTGGCCTCGAAGCGCGGCTGCTCGACGACGACGAGTACCCGAGCTTGAAGGTCGCCGACGTCCAAGTCCTTGCGATCGAGTTTCAGCTCCAAGAGGCCTTTCCCGCACTCATGCAGCTCGAAGCCACGTACACGCGCAAGCCGACGGTGCTTGTGGATCCCAATCGGGTCTACTGGTCGCTGCCTGAGACGGCTATGACGCTCGTCGTCGACTCGGTCGATGCCGTGGCCTTGGCGTCGTCTGTGCTCGGCCAGAGCCGCCTGGTTGGCATTGACGTCGAGTGGCGCCCAGACGTGCACGCAAAAATGAAGTCCAAGTGCGCAGTGGTCCAGCTCGCGTGTGCGACCCACGTCTTCGTCCTTGACGTGCTCAATGCGTGGTCCGACGAGATGCACGATCTCTTTGATATGGTCGTCCACAACGCGCGTATATGGAAGCTCGGCTTTGGCTTGCACCAAGACGTGGCGCGACTGCAGTGGTCCTTCCCGGACGCCACGTGCTTTGAGTACGGCGAGTGGGAAAGCGTCTTGGACCTGCAGAGCTACTACTGCAAGCTCACGAAGCGCAACCAAGTCGGTTTGAGCCGGTGCGTCGAAGAAACACTGCAGTTCCCGCTCAATAAGAGCCAGCAGACGAGCGACTGGGAGGCCCGGCCGCTGTCGCCCGACCAGATTGCATATGCGGCCAATGACGCCTACTGCCTTCTGGAGCTCGTCCGCGCCCTCCGTCCGCCCATGATTGCCGCCGAGTGCCTTTAGAAGACGCCAGAAATCGAAAGCCAAGAAAGGCGTCAATGAAATGCAGATGATCGTCGCCTTCTACGTGTGTGGAAGAGGCGTGCGTACTCCAGCGTTTAAGGGTCGACGGAAAAGCCAGGTGCTTTTGGCTCTGTGTTGGAGTGGGCGAGGTCGCTGAGACGCTTGATTTCGGCCACCGCCATGGCATTGGCGTCGAGGAGGCAGCGCTCGGCGTGGTATTGCTGGCTGAGTTTGGCCTCTTTGATGCAGTCGGCTTCGCACCGCGGTATGCTAGGTGCGCTCAAGCACTGGACGAGCCAAATGTTGGCTTCGGCCATCGCCTTCTTGACGTCATCGAGGACGGGGTTGGCTGCGTCGAGTGTCTTGAGGATCTTGAGGTGCTTCTTGACGTCGCCGCTCAAGATGGCGCATATTCTCTACGCCTGGTATAGAAAAAGACCAGGTTGCAGATGATGCACCACCTTGGCTTCGTTTTGGATGTCGACCACGGACTTGGTCGCGATCATGTCGGTCAGCTTTTGCTGCGTGTCGTTCATCGACTCGGCGTCATCGTTGACGCCATCTTGCTCGTCTTCCTCTGTGTTTTGCAAGCTCGTATCAAGGCCCTTGGAGCGGCCAAGGAGCGAGAGCCGGCGGCGGATGTTGCTGAGCTTGCGCCGAATCGGGTGCGCCTCCTTCACGGCCTCGTCGGCGCCCGCGAGCACCTCGGTCGGCTCCGTCGCGGGCTCAGCCTCCGGCGCAGTGGCCACCGCAGGGTCCGCGTCCGACGGTTCGCGGCTTGCCCGAAAGATCGACGAGATCGACGACAGCATGCAGAAATGGAAATGAGTGATGTTTGGAAGGCCCAAGGCCATTGGCCATAAAGATGACCTTCTCATGGTTTCAGCCAATCCATTCGTCCGACTTGCAAAACGTGGACCAATCAAACGCGTGGCGTGAAAGGAAAGATACGCTCGCAAGAATGCGCTTGACGGCGCCTCCCAGCAGAGCGTGGGAGCGCCTGACTTACCTAGCACTAACACAGCAGCTCTAGGCACATGCAAGCGCACCTGGCGCCTGGTACCGAGCTCTACAGACACCATCATTGCATAGCTGTCGTTGCCAGGTTCAAGTTGCGTGCATTCAGACCTTTTTCGAAAAAACCAGCTGCAAGCGTCTGCAAGACGGACGCGGCGATGGCGACCCAGCTGCGCTTCGCCATGGAGCGCGACGACGCGGTGCGAGCGACGGGGCCGCAGCATGCCCCGCGTGCCATTGCGTTCCACATTCCAGCGACAAGCGCGAAGCCGGCACCGCGACGGGCCAAGCCCAAGCCCTCGCCGTGGGCCGCCCGCCCACCGCCGGTAAAGCGCACGGCCAAGCCAGCATGGAACGACGACGTGCACGGCGCCGTGCTCTTTGATCAGTCGCTCGCCAAGAACCAGCTTCGAAAGGACCCGAAGCGGACGCGCGACAAGGCGCCACCGGCAATGCTAAAGAAGGTCATTGCCAGCGTGTACACGCAGCCCAAGAAGAGCCAGCCTCCCGTTCAGCAACGGTCCATCGTGCGGCCGCGACCAACGACAACAGCACCCAAAATCAAGACAAAGCCAGCGCTCGCAACGCATTGGTCCCGTCGTCCAGTGGCCACTCCGGCACTGCCGGCCACAGAGCCCGAGCCCATTTGCACTATCGTCGAAGCGTCGCCGGCACGAGTTCCATCGCCGCAAGCCGCCGTGCATCACATCAAACCGCTCGATCTAGATACGCAGCAGCCCTCGCCACCTCCGCCAAGCTACAGCCCAAACCCAGTGATGCGTCCATTGTCGCCGGTGCGCATGAGCTCGAACCAAGAGGACAAGGACGACGACATCGCGTACCGGTCGATTCCACCGCCTATCATCGACGTGCCGCAGCCAACGCCAATCCAGCGCAAGCTCATTGTGAGTACGTTCAAAGTGCTCGATGCAAAGCGCCGGGGCGTGCTCCACGCGCGAGAGATCCACCAAGGGCTGCAGCTGCTCGGTATCACGTCCACGCTGCGTCAGGTACACTCCACATGCAAGACAATCTCCTACGACTACATGCGTAGATCACCGACTACCTGTACCTTGTCAACGACGGCATGGGCGACACGATCGGGCTCAGTGAGTGGGTCATCCTCGTCAACACGCTGCAGTCGGCCGAGTGGCTCACAGCCGACAGCCCGCTCCAGATCGAATCGTCGGACGAGTCGCCGAGCCCGGCGTCGGCTCATAGCGTCGGACTGTCCCCCATCCGGCACGCGCCGTCGCCAGTGCACCAGGCGCCGGTCGTCGCAACGAGGCCAGCGTCGCCGCCGCCCTCAACCTTTCAAGAAACGTGGTTTATCGACCAGATCGAAGTCGGCCTCTATCAGATCTATGTGTCGCTGATGCCTCGTCGTGTAGCGCCGCAATGACATGTTTTCCCGGGCAGAGGCGTCGGTTGCACTGCGCTGGAACAACCAGCAGACGACCGACGAAGCCCCCGAGACCTTTCTCCGACGAGCCGCCCACGTCGTCCACGGGCTCAAGGTAGACGTCGCGTATGGCCATTGTCATCATGTATGCGAGAATGACCTAGTCGAGCCTGTACCCGCTGGTGCACCAGGCCGAAGAGACGCTCCGTGCAATCCAAGGGCAGCACGCGGCCAGTCTCAGTGTCTTTTTATCGCCAAAGGACATGGCGAAGGTCACCACACACGCCGAAGACCTTGCCGACTTGCTCCTCGACGACCTCCTCACGGTACAGCCCCTCGTCATACGTCCCGTCGATCTTGATCTGGCGATGCTCCACAGGACACGGTCGACGTCCTCCAGCAGCACGAGAAGGCACAGACCACCGAGGTGTGGCGGCAGAGTGAACTCGACCAGCTGCAGTCGCTTCTCGACCTGATCGAGTCGGTCCAAGCCGACGAAGACCTTTTGCTACACCCTACTCCACCAGCAATTGCCACCCAAGCGTCCGCTATCTCGGACACCAAGTCTGGCTGCATCTTGCCGCTCCACGTCCTCGTATCAACGACCGTCACCACCGACGCACCCAACGGCACGGACCTAACCACCGCCGCACCACAGCACTCGATGGAGCGAGACGATAGTCATCGGCCAACATTCTTCAAGACGCCGCTGGCAGGTGGCATCTCAACGGCCCACGTTGGTCGCATTGCGGGCGCCCTAGCCTTGCACCGCACAGCATTTCTGCGGTACGCATGCCGGCTCGTCAGTCGATGCCACGGATATGTAGATCGCGCAAGGTGGCCGAAGCCACGCTCGTCGACACGGGGTTGGACCAGCCGGTCGTGATTGAACTGTACGCGTGTCTTGGTTTCACATCGAATAATGCAACGTCCATAGACTCGAGGAGATGCTGCTGCACGAGATGCTGGACGACATTGCTCTCGAGCTCGACAGCTGCTTTGGCAAACTCGGCGAGAAGATCTTGCGCACCGTGTGATCGCATCGTGTTGTCCTTTTTTACGCGACGAGTCGCCAGAGACGCGCGACGCAGTCGTCGCCGGTCGAGACGAGCAGCGTCGGGTCGCGCTTGGACCAGCGAACGCAGTTGACGTCGCCTAATCCAATACAGTTTAGAACGGGCCTTGAAAAGTATCCAGTTGTTACCGGCGTGGGCGTGCGCGTGCGTGTAGGCGAGCTGGAACGGACTCTCGGCCTTGTCTTGGGCAAAGAGTCGGAGCCCGTCGTCGCCGCCACCCGTGACGATGCAGTTGAGCGTCGGGTGCCAATCAACGCTAAAGACCGACCGCTCGTGAAAGCCTTCGAGCGCCTGCAGCGGCTGCCACGACGTCGGCCTAGCCGCCATATTGACATATTGCTACGACTTGGAAAAGAAAGAGTACCGGCCATCGGCGCTCGTGCCCGGCTGGTGCTGCCACAACAGCACGTTTGTGTCGTCCGAGCACGACGCCATGCGCTCGCCGTCGGCCCGCAGCGTGACGCCCCACACCGTGGATGCATGGCCCTTGAGCGTCTCCTTGCAGTACCAGTCGTCTGCGAGACATGCTAAGCTATGCACGAGAGGCAGGATAGAGTAGCAGCACCGTCGCTCTCGGCCCAGACACAGATCGTGTCGTCGTACGACGTCGAGAAGAGAATGTCGTCGGTCGGGTGCCACTGCACAAACTTGACGTCTTGGCTGTGCCCATGCAGCACCGAGATGCACTCAAAGTCCGTGTCCGGGTCGGCCTCCCAGATCCACACGCTCTTGTCGCGGCTGCACGTCGCGAGGTATGACCCCGACGGGCTCCACGCGATCGACTTGACCTCGCTCTCGTGGCCCTCCAACGACGCGATCACCTCGTACACGTCGCCGCGGCGCTCCCAGATGACCGTGGTCGCGTCAAAGCTCACGGACGCAATGAACTGCCCGTTCGGCGACCTAATGGGCGTAAGCATTGAACGGCGAAGCACGTCGCAGTACCATTCGCAGGCGCGGATCGTTCGGTTCTGCGCGTCCTCGAGCGTCGCGACGCAGTCCCAGTGGGTGGCGCCGTTGCGCGCGCAGGCCCAGATGCGCACCGTCTTGTCGCTGCCGCACGTCGCCAGAAGGCTTCCGTCCGGGCTCCACGACGCGTGCCAGACGCACTCGGCATGGCCCACGAGCACCGCGACCTCTTCGAGATGCATTGCTTGCTGGTGTCTTGAGTTTTATTGGAGCGGTGGCCATCCGGATGATACATGGTAATCCGGATACATGGTGGCAGAAAGGCCATGCTAGAAGATCGTTGCGCCCCATGGTCAGGACGATGAACATGGATGGGCACGGACGTGACGACACGCTATGTACAAGTGACGGCCAAGTACATAGCTACGGTCTGCACAGAGCAGGACTGGGCTGGTGTGGCGACTCGACATGCAGGATGGCTGGCATCAGGAGCACGGGACACTCAAAAGGTCGCGGCACACACTAGTACAGTAGTCTGGTGGCGTCGTCACCACGGTAGCCTTGGCACCGCCACGAAGTCCGTAGCAGCAACTGGTCCCTGGCATCGAAGAAACTCAATTTTTCGATGCGAACGCTAGAACACTGGCGCCTTCGATGGAACATCAACGAGGTGAACAAAGCGCGCCATGCTGAACTGGAAGGCGACGGAGAAGTTTAGTGTACGACATGCGTCTTCGACGGCTACCATGAGGCGACGATGCATCGATATGCGAAGGATAGAACAGGTGGGTTGGCAGTGTGTACACAGAGTTCATTTTTGCATTGGCGCGGGCGCACCACCATGATCGACACAGCGGACCTTCTGCTCGACGACTGCCACCAATTGCGCAACATTGGCCGACCTGGTTACGAGTACCTCATGGAGAGTCGGCGCAGTGACGAGAGCGCGTATGCAACGGCGCCGCCCAGTGGTCAATACGACTCGAGCAAGCCAGCGACCAGCGCAGCCGAACGTCCACCATCAAGTGAGGCACCAAGTTCCAGTCCTACAAGCATTGGCTACGGCAGACCCACGAGCACGCCCACAAGTCCACCGAGTAGCTACGTCCGACCGACTAGCCCTCCAAAGACGGGTTACGGCAAGCCCACCAGCGCACCAGGCAGCGGCTTCGGCAAGCCCACAAGTCCACCGAGTGGCTACGGTCGACCGACGAGCTCTCCGAGCGGCGGCAATGGCAAGCCCACCAGCGCACCAAGCAGTGGCTACGACAAGTCCTCCAGTCCACCAAGTGGCTACGACCGACCGATCAGCTCTCCGAGCAGCGGCTACGAAAAGCCTGGCAACAACCAAGGTAACGCTGGGGGCGGCGGGTACGTTAAGCCGAGCAAGGGTCCCAGCGACAACTATGGCAAACCCAGTGGTGCCACGGGCTATCCAAGTGGCGGTCGATACGATGGCCGCGATCGACCTGGCTCACCTGGGAAAGGCAAGCCGTCCCACCAAGGAGATGGCTACACCAAGAGCCCAAAGCCGTCGTCGTACGGTAGCACGGAAGTGCCGTGCAAGAGTCTCAAGGCGCGGCAAGGTCGCGACGCCGACCGAGATTCGGCCGCCCAAGTCGCGGTGCATGTAAAGGCACAGTATCGCGAGTCGCTCGTGGAAGAAGGCAAGCCGAGTCAGTGCGGCGACTGCTCGGGGTGCTACTCGGGTACCAGCGGTACGTGCCTCGACGAATACTCGCCGCGG